ACGCACCCCAAACGCAACTAGCGCAGTTAGAATAGGGTTTTGAGGTATATTATACTATACCTATATAATAAGTAGCCCCAAAATAGTATAGGTAGCAGTGGAGGAACGACCCGCCAGTCCCTTACAATCCGTGCGCCGTGGCTAGAAAACAGCACGAAACACACCGACGACTGCAGACGAGAATAGCAAAAGCTGAAGCTAGCATGCAAAAACACCGGCGGTTTTCCAACTCTGACCTCCGGCCATGTCCAAGACAGGTCCGCTGCGCAGCTCCTCTTCGAAAGTCCGCACCACGAAATCGCGGAAGGCAAAAACGCGGTCGCGCTGCGGGACGGTTGCCTTAAGGAGGCTCTAAGGAGGATGCGCGAGCACTGTACCACATGTCCAGCTGAATCTGACAAAGCATGCCTGCAGTTGCTAAAATCGGGGCGACTGCTTCAAGGAAAGACTGGAGCGCACTTCAACAGGTGCTTTCGAGAGGCCATCGTCGCAGCAGCTGCCGGTACCCATGGCGCGGCCACACACGTTTCGAGTTGAGCTAGGGCTGTGCGAAAAATCTCGGCAACTGCCAACTTAGTTTAGTCTCATTGTCACCTCAGCATCTTCCAGGATGGTCGGATCCATTGGAGCGTCAAAACCCATCAAAAGATTCGAGGCCGTGCGGCTTGAGCAGAGAAAATCGGTGAAAGCTGGAGGTCATGGACCTTGACCTCCACTCGACGGCTTCAGAGGTAAAAATCCGATGGAGTCTGTTTTGTCATAGCGCTCGAAGCCACGAAAGGGCCGACTGTCTGACAAAGAGCTGCTAATGGAGTCAAGGCTGAGAGCAGCTTAAATAGGTTGTGGGCAGCACTGCTCCGATTTGCGGGGGCGCGAAGACAGGGATGGAGGGAGGGAGGGAGGGAGGGAGGGAGGGAACTGAAACACCCAAAAACCTAAGACCGAAGAATCTGAACTCCCCAGCTTTCAAGCCGGAAAGCACACAAACAACCACCTGCTCCATGAAGACCATGCCACAACGTGACACCGTGGCCGGTGAGGCGGCGGATAAGTCCTCGCGACTACTTCTTTCTGGCATTCGGATTGCCGCAGCTTCGGCTCGGTGAATTGAGCAATCAGTTCATTTCTGGCCCTCACCCTCTGTACAACTTTGCGAGGTTCCATCCCAAAGCAAAGTCAGCATGGGCTCCTTCGCGAACAAGAAATTCCGAAGTGCGCAGCCGAGATGAAAGCGTCACTGAAACTGAAACTTGCTTTCTGCTCGCAACCTTGTCGTCTTGAGTAGAACTGTATCGTTGATGTGTCCTCCACCTCAAACATCATCGTGGTCACCTAGGTCCCAAAGGATCTGGCAAAAGCTTGGCACCTGGAGCGCCCCTGCTTCCTTGACCGACAACATGTCCCCAGACCCTCAAAACCACAGACCCTAAACCCTAAACCCTCAAAACCACAACCGCAACCAAATCGCCAAGCTCTGAGAACCCAAGCCGGGCTTAGCTTGATGATCTCACCGCTGTTGAGGCAGAGCTTCTTGTTGTCCTGGCTCCACAAGGAGGACCAATATGGGTTTAGGGTTTAGGGTATTTTAGGGTAATTCTTCGACAACAGGAATGTGCCGCGAATGCGGCTTGGAGCACCCACTCACCATCCAAAGTCTCCAAAGTCTTCCCGACTGCACCTACCCCAAATCCGTCTGCCCGAAGCAGGCCGAAGGCACATCGAGGACCGTGTTCATGTTCTCGATCCACACAGCATCCACGGGCCCATCCTGTGCAAGCCACTTTACATTTAAAATCCCAGGAGCCGTACGTGGGCCGTCTTCTTAGCCCAGACTTCAAGACTCGCAGCTCTAGAGCTCTGGCCGGTACAGCGCAAGAAACAAAAACGAGCTTCGCATGTTTGAGCCATCCTCTATAGCCTTGCAAGCGTATCTCAAAACACTGACCAGGCAATGTCCCGAAGGTCAGGATTCACGAAGCCATGGGCACGACATGCACTGGGCTTGCTACCAGCATGATCCACTGACGGTGGCTCGGATCGGCGTTCGCGGTATAGCGGACCTTTGGGCTCGTGAAGGTTATGCCCAAGAGTCGTGGAGCAAGGTAGTAAGAATTTCCCACCCCGCAACCTCCATCCTAAGAGTGCAGGAGCACCGCCAGGCAATACAGCTCTATTTTGACCCCCATTGCAACCCTGTGCCGACATCAGAATGAAGGTAAGCATATAAAACAAAGCTTGCTGCAAGGCCAAATTTCGGTGCAAGGGCTGGGCGTAAGGGTGGAATAGGGGTCATGCGGGTCGGAATGCACAGTCCCTCTTCAACTCGCACTCGAAAAGTATCTACGCCCCCATTCGAGACGCGCACAAAACCACTGTCACGAACCTGCTGAGTCTAGTCAAAGGATGTCAAAGGTCATACATGCCAGACCTGACCCTCACCTCAAACAGTCTGCCAAGGGGCCGTCAGCGCCAGAATTCCATCCGTCCACTCGTGGGTGTTCTCATCGAAGTCACCGTACAACTGGCCCTGCTTGATAGACCTGGACAGTGCAGCCAGTTCAAAACGAAGTATGAGCGGCAGGCGTCGGCAGCCACGAGCCAGAAAGCCCCCTAGGCCTGTGTGTGCAACAAGAAGTGCTTGCAGGATGCAACCGGCATTTACACCTGCAACAGTAGACCTTTAGGTACGACTGCCCATAGATCCACTTTCTAACTGAGTTACGTAGCAACTCAGATAGAAAGTGGGCCTATGGGTTACTTCTGCAGTAAACTCAGCCGTGGCATCCATAGCCTTGAGTGCGGAACTTGGCTACAATTGTTCATCCCGGCCCGCAGGCTGCAGTGCTGCAACGCATGGGCTTCCAGCTTTGGGTTGATCTTGTGGATCTGGCAGGGCAGGTAGAGGTCACCTGCAGGTCCGAGTCCGAGGCGATTGGAGTTTGCAGCAAAATCCAGCACAACCGAGAGCTTACTGCAAGCCCAGAGAGGGCCGGCGACTTCAACGCTGTGAGGGCCAGGAAGCAGAAGCTCCACAGGGTACCAATTGGGGTATTGGCTGTATGGATTTCTCGGGAAACAGGCACTTGCAAGCCTCTGGCGAGTTCAATCTGAAGAGGAATTGCGCTGGCATAGGAATGGCTCAACTCAACTAAACTCGTGAAGCAAACCGGTCACAATCTGACATGCCCAGACGCCCACGGCACCGACCCTACGGCAAGCCGCTTCTCAACATGGCAACCCCTCCAAAAGCTGACAGTTTGGCGGCGGCTTTCCTTAAGGCCTTAAGGATCCTGAAGACCTACGACACCTCAAGGAACACAAGCAGGCCAACAGGAACACGGGCAGGCACCGTCCGCCACAGCTGCCAGGGCAGCCGCAAGAACATTCTCCACCTGTGTAGGAATCTCTTATAGGCGGCAGTCTAGTTACTTGCGGCGGCTTGCAGGAAATAGCGTAGCCGCAGTAACGGGCCAATTCATGTAGCTTACGGTCATGTCTGCAAGCCTGCGGCACGCAAGGAAACGACCCTCTAAGATGCCTCGTCGCTGCCTGTCGGTGTTCAGGCTTATCTTCAGAGTCTAGTCTTACAAGATCATCGATGCAGGCCATACCACAGACAAGAATGATTGCACTGACAAGCAATGCCCCCAAAGGTAACACCAACGAATCCCTTTCACGCTTGTGGCCCGGCTCTGCAATTCCACGAGCGAGGCCTCGGACTTGCCGGACACGTTCATGCCTTGGCAATGTCTGACAAATCATGGTCCAACCGATCTGTCTCTCTCGCTCTCTCTGAAGGTTATCTACCTTTCGAGGTCGCTGGCGTCCACCTGCAGGTCCAACAAATTTCTGAGCTCGCCACCCACAACCATCAGCCCGTGCCTGTTCCAAAGCTAAAGCGGCTGTGAAGGGGATTGTCGCTTCTTGCACTCGGCAGGCCGGCAAGTATACACAACGCAATGGCACAGCCAGGATGAGAACGAATCGAGACATGCGAGGGGAGAATGCACCATCGAAGCCCTGCCTCACCATGATGGTTTCCCACAGCTGGGTGCACTTGTGGATGAAGGAGGCCTGAACGTGCATCCACTGGTCATTGGGTAAGAGAAGTCGGTGGGGATGGATTAAGAGAACAGATGAACCCAGCAGATATCTCGCTTCACCAAACACTTTCTACTTGTCGCCGAATCGAGAATCTCTTGCACAGCGTCTCATCTTCAATAACCAGGCCCCACAAAGCTTGAACGTCTTCGTGAAGACCCGCTTCGACACCCAAAAATCTACAGTTCTCCCTTTGAGGAGGAAAGAAAAGGCTCTCGAATCTTGAAAACCTCAACTGGCCTTGGGCTGCAGATGCCGCGCACGGGCAGCACCTCAGTTCACCAGGGCCGAAGCTAACGAAGGAGGCTTCGGACCGCTTCGGAGCCTTCCAACTCGTTGATGAGCTTGCCGTAGTCTGACGGCGGAAGCCTCGGCCGAGGAAACCGAGCTTCAATGAACCAAAGGATGCCCAAGACTACTCTTTGCTACTCTGGGCCGCGAACTTCACCCCTGGGAAGAGGTCGCCGGTGATTCCCAAGAATAGCGGGATGTCCTGCACTCTTCAGTTGCTGGTCTTATAAGGTCCCAATCCACAGCATATCGCCGCATCGTGGTGTTCTCATTTGCACCCCTCATCCACTTCACAATTCCTGCCCTGGCTGCAGACTGTCACGTAGCTCTGTATCCAGTGCTGGCGAGTCGCATTGGAAGTGAACTTGGGCAGGTTCACATCCTTGCCGAGGGTTGAGACATTAGGAGGGGCTGCAAACAGTCAGAGGGCCTCCTACAAGTAGGGTTCTTGCCAGTGATGGGTTATCTTGTTCGAAAGGGAGTACATTCGCTCAGTACTCGGGGTCATGACAAGCTTTGCAAGCTTCTTGAAATGGTTGTGGCCACTTTCTGCCAGCCTAACAGCTTGCTGACTGCGGTGCCATGCCGCTTCTTAGAGGTGCACGCATCTCCGAGCGTCGGGACACGTTTTACAACGCAACTGCCATGCACGGAGTGAGGGAAGACTGCCGGAAGCAATTATGGAAGTAGTTGTTCAAGGCAGCTGGGACTAAGTAGGTACTCCAAGTGAAAGAACGAAACAGATGGTTCTCGAGCCGCAGCTTTTAAGCCTTTAAAGCAAACGTGAAGCCAACATCATGGGAGTTTGGCTCTGTGGTTGCACTTTCATGCCAGAGTGGAATTCGGGGAAGGAGGGTAGCTGGAACGCGGAGAAGAAGCACCTCATGCAGAGGCTGCAGCATGCAGCTTGAACATCCCTGAGCTTGAGTAGGCCTGTCTCACTGGCACTCCACAACTTGTTTTCTGAATCAACTTGTAACTTGACCAATCAAGAACGGACGCTCAACGAAATTTTGCTGCCAAGTGCGGGACGTTCAGAGCCGACAACATCAAGATGTCTTCCGCCCGGCTGCTGCCAAACCTTTAACGGAGAGGGCCGCTGCTGCCATTCCAATCTTCCAAGTGAAAATCGAACGTAATCTCTGAGCTTGCTCTTCTGTCGCAGCCTTCCCCCCTGCGAAAAAACCTTGGCCCCGCACTTCTTGCGAAGTTGACCAGCTGCCACGAGGATAGACCTCACAGCTTCCCCTCGAGACGGCATGCCACAAGTGGACAGCGGAAGACGGAACAGCAGCAGCATCAGCAACGACAGCGACCAACAGTAGAGCAACGACAAGAAGAACAAGACCCTGTTTTGCTTTTGCAGAGCTCTTTCCCCCACCAACACTCAAAAATTCCCGTGCGACTGTGTCGTAGTACCGTAGAGCTGTTTTGCTTTTGCAGAGCCTTTTCTCGCACCAACTCTCAAAACGGCCCTACGACGGGGTCCTAAACCTGTTTTGCTTTTGCCGAGAGCTCTTTCCCCTGGCAACACCCAAAACGGCCCTACGACGGTGTCCGAGAGCTGCTTTGCTTTTGCAAAACCCTTTCCCCCAGCAACACGCGAAACCTTGCCTTCGAGCTGGGGGCTCAATTGCCTTGGTCCAAAAATCTCGACTCCAGGTGAGGAAACGGCCCAAAATAACGACCCCGCGGATTGAGCCCGCAGAGAGTGACTTGTGAGACCGCGCACCCGCCCACTAGGCTGTGGCCGGCGTTTTGAAATATGCTTTGGCTACGTAGCTGAGGAGTCTTGGAAGAGGCGATGGCTGAAGCAACCGAAATACTTACGTATCCCTTGCAAAGAAGAAGAATTTGTCGTGTTCGCGGCGAATTTCGTGTTAAATCGTGTGTCCAGCAAAGAAGGAGAATTTGTCGTTTTCGCGTTGTTTTTTCGTGTTTGTTTTTGGAACAAAAGCAAAGGAGGCTCATTATGGGAGTTGCGAGGGCCGAAATAATCGAAATGCGTGTCCTTTGCTTTAATCCAAATCCAAACTGCGACTCCAGCAAAAGTTAAAAGAAGATAATTTGTTGTTTTCGCGCCGCCGCCTTGCGGGCGGTGGGGTCTTTTCTTGTTGATGGTGAGGGGTACGCAGTCTACGGGTCAACCAACAACAACCAACAACAACAACAACCACGACAACGACAACGACGACGACGACAACAACAACAAACACAACTACAACCACGCCAACAAGAACACGAAAACCCGTGCAGGCACGCACGCACACACACACACACCCAACAAAAAAAAAGAGAAAGAGAGAGAGAGAGAGAAAGATTGGATCACACAAGCGCATAAACATGCATGTGTGTGTGTATGTGCAGCTGCATGCATACAAATATAAACATGCACCTCCCTCGAACCTGGAATCTACACGTGAACCCCTTCAGTTCAAGCATGTTGGGGCCAGCATGACTCCGGCATTCGACCTGAGATGCGGGCTTAAGCGCACGCATGCCAAAGTCGTAGTGGTCCTCCAAGTGCGCATGGAGGGCAGGTGCGGCGTGTGCAGGGAAAGCATGTGGTGAAAAGTTACCTTATATCGGGGTTGGAACAGCTTCAACATATGGAGCAAACAGGTTTTTGTCGCCAGTGCTCCGGCAACTTTGGGTCTGATACAGCACGGCTCCGCTCATGCCCATGCCAAAACCCTGAATCCACAATGCAGACCGCTGGCGACTCTAAACCCTAAACCCTGAACCCTAAGACCCTAGACCCTAAACCCTAAGACCCCAAACCCCAAACCCTAAGACCCTAGACCCTTTAAACCCTAAGACCCCGAACCCCAAACCCTAAGACCCTAGACCTAAACCCGGAGAGCCTGGGAAGAGAGCTGCTCGGAGCCGAGCCGAAGCGAGGCCACTGCCTTGCGCTGGTTTGCTGCACATGGCCCCAGGTCATCTCAGAGTTTAGGGTTTAGGGTTTCTATAGTCAGCTATAGTCCGTCATAGAATGCAGCTACCACGGAGATCCAACATCAACGCTCTTTCACAAGTCCGCAAAGGCTCCTGCAACCCGACAAAAAGAGGCGGATTCCCAAAGCCCCAGGCCTTGGCCGCCAGAGGCTTGGCATTCCCAAAGCCCACCTTCGAAAGACAGGGGCTTCTTAAAAGAGGAGGTGCGAGGTGCTGGCGGTGGGCGGTGGGGCTTCCATGGGCTTCCAGCCTCGCTACTTTGCTTTCCCTTCTGTCCCGCTCCCAGCTGCTTTTGGAGCTGAGGCCCCGGGCGGAATAAAGCACGATCTCTCCAATCAGGGCATAATCCGGCACCATCATAGCCTGTGACTCGCCAACATGGGGAGCTAGCCCCGAAGTTTCCGGTTTCAGGTTGAACTGAAAAGAGCAGTCTCAACAATTTCCTGATTGGCACCATGGGTTTGCGGCAAGAACTGTCCTGTGGCTTCTGAAATAGTCTAAGCCTAAGCCCTAGTCTAAACAACGGCGGAGGACCGAGGATCCTCCCGGATTCCAAAGACTGAACATAACTGACATGACCTCGACATTAAGCCTTGGAAACGTATAGGCTGTACCGTCTAGGTCGTCCCTTGGCCTCCCCGCCCGTCCCTGCAATCCTGCATTTTTTCTTACTTCCCTGCCACCATCCCGATTGTCAGCGCTAAGGTTCTGAATGGATCTTGTGTTCTGCTATGGGGCCCTTCGCAAACACCCAGACGATCTGAACAAACGACTTGAAGAGGTACGCAGGCCACATACTTTGCAGTGACCGCTGAGTGCGTTGCACAGGGGCGGAAGAGAGCCTGTGACGCGGGATGCTTCTCGACGGAAGTGCTCCATTTTACGCAGGGTTAACAGAACACCTAAAGTTTAGACTAGGCATGGCTTGCAAACATCAGAAGGTTGCGGTAGGGAGGTGCGCAGCGAACTAGCCGATGGGCTCCTCTCTCTGCCTTTTCTCCGCTTTCGCCAGAGTACAGAGTACCGCCTCACTGATGCGGCGACGTGTAATCAAAAGCGCCTGGCATCAGCTTGGCCGATGCGATAAGCTGATCACCGGTACTACTTGCTCTCTGCAGGGCCATCTAGCAAGAGTCAAGAGGCCGGGCCAGCCTCCGCCTATGAAAGTCAAGTCTCATTCGATGGAAAGGCCTTGGGCTAAAACTTTCTTGGACATCGCTCCGTGTGTGCACCTCGCCAGCTCAGCTTCCTCAGGTTCAGAAAGGCAAGATTTCAAGAGCCCCAAACCTTCTCCAGCCCTGTCCCTGACCTCATCAGACTGTGACTTCACTTCTGCGAGCGAGGTTCGTATGGCTGAGGGAACTTCTGGTGGTGCTTCTCCACATTGCCTTCCGGGATGCCCTTAAAAGGTTGGTACAGCCCCAGGAAGCGTAGCACCCCCAAGCCGACGCCTTGGTCCAACCACGGATTCTGGTGAGAGGCCATGGCTGCAGCGTACATGTCAATGCCCTCCTGCGGCCAGTTGCATTTACGATTCGATGCTGTGGGACTACGGATCGGGTCTTCAGTCTCATGAGCCATGGCTGAGACTTGAGGCCGTGCCCATGCAGGACATGCCGGCGGGTCCTGGATCTTGGCTGCCAGTGTATCAACTGAGTCGGTGTAGACCTCGGTAGTTTCGCACATCACGGCCCATGCGTTCCGAAGATCCGTGGCATGTCTCCGCCGAGGCGGGGGAGTTCATGAGGGTAGCCTGGAGGATCGAAGAACTTCGTCGGATGCAGAAACAAAGCTGGCAAAGCCTGAACAAAGCCCAATGCTGGAGGCCTTCTCCTTCCCACTGCAGCAGAAGGCACGTTATTGTTGTTGTTGAAGCTCATGGTACCACATGCCTCACAAGAGCACATGCATGGGCCAAACATGCAATCAGCACAAACATCTTTGTGGTATGGCACCCAGCAAACGAGGAAAAAACAGCGGGGCGGGCCGGGCAGGGCCACGAAGGCAAGCCGGTTGGGACAAGCCAGAAACTAGGCATCCTCCCAGAGCAACAAGCGTCATTCGGCCGTCCAGTGCGAACCTCGCCCTAGCTTAAGCCTAAACGCCAATCAAGGCTCTTGGAAACCCTGATGGAAAGACTCTAGGCCCGAAGCACAAAACCCTAAGATCCACAGGGCCACAACACTGTCAGCCAAAGTGCCAGCTTCAAGCGACGAAGCTCGAACTGCAGGATCAACAGACCTCGAGGGTTTGCCAACCAGCATCTCCAAGGTGAAAGTGTATGATTGAAGGGAGTTTGGGGAGCATCTTGGCTTGCCACTTCAATGTTTTCTTCTGCACCCTTAGGTTTGAGCGGAGTGCCCTGTCTCAAGAATGCGCAAAAGCGAGAGACCATGACCATGCTCTGAATCCATGGAAAGGTTCCATGCCCAGACAAACAGAAACTGCACATGCCACATTGACATACCTTAGGGCTTTACAGTGCGGAGGGTGAAGGAAAATCGCCAAATCATCGGCCAACATCCCCAACAACCTTCGAAAGCACTGTGATTGCCACGTGTTCCATTTTCTTAAAAATTCGGCCCGGCATTGACGGTGCCTTCCCGCCAGAAGTAACCAACTTTCTTCAATGGCGCAACCCGCGCGCTTACACAAAACGCTCGAAAGTAATTGCCGTGCCTGACATGCACTTGTGCTGTTGCTGCTACACTTATGTACGACTGCGGTTGTTGCTGCTGTCGCCAGTGCTGGTGCTGATGGTACTGTGCTGGTCGTGGTGGTAAGGGCGGCAGCGGTGGTGGTGGTTGTCGCAGTGGTAGCGGCAGTCGGTTGCTGCAGCAGCAGCGGTCGCAGCAGTAGGAGGCGGAGGAGCAGCAGGAGGGCCAGGAGGCATATCTGTCGTGACTGTGATAGAACAGCGACAGTCGCCCTTGCTGAGGCGTGACCGTGGCTGCATGCAGATGAGGCAAGAGACTCCAAATTCTCGCCCTTCAAGTTCTTACAATACACCTGCTGCAGGCAAGTTTCGGCTACGACCGTTGCGGTCTGGAAGCGGATGCAGAAACGCCAAATTTTTCCTCGGACTCGCAAGGCTCAGCTTGCCAAAGGCACGATGGTTCATACAAGGCCGCTCCTAATGGTTTGGCTTCATTTTGTTGGAGGTGTGGGTTCACGTGTTGTGGGATATACGGCCTGAAGTTGCTTCGAAGCTGCAGACCAGGTTTCGCACTCCGGATGCATCGACAGTATGAGTATCAAGTTTCGAGGTTCTGGTGACTGGACCGTGCGCGAGATTGCAACTCAGCTGCAACACTTCAGGAACCAAATTCAGAGACCGCGTGGTCAATTCTGGAACCGGAATTCGGGAAAAACCTCATTCTGGAACTTAATTCGTGGACTGCCTGGTCCAATTCCGGAACTGGGACGACCGAGAACCCTGAAGTCGAAATTCAGGGACCAGTGGCTCGAAATTCAGGAACCAGTGAAGCTGTCGGAAGCCCTGCTTCAAGACAGATACATAATTCCGGAACACATGGATCTGACTTCGTGCATTTCGGCCCCGCTGCTTCAAGTCAGATAGCCAAAGTTTCCACGAATCGGGCTTAGGATTTCGGCTTTCGCCCTAAGGGTAGGGTTTCGGCTTTAGGGTTTTTGCGGCCTGACGCGTTCGGCTGCAGTTTAGTTTTGTCGGGTTTCGGCTTAGGGGTTGTCCCTGCTTCAAGTCAGATATCTGGAGCTAACACCAAGCCAGAAACCAAACCCTAAACCCTCGAGCCGAAAACCCCAAGGCCGAAACCCTCAAGCCGAAATCTCAAGGCGGCCCAAAACGACGCCCTAAGCACGCGATCCCAGCTGGACATGTACTGTCCCTGCGGCTATCCTATAGTCGCCGTCAGTCTTTGAGAAGTCTGAATCCGAGTCAAACAGTATTCGAAGAGCAACCATGCGGTAAACCCCTGCCCGTACTACTGAACGCCGACAGTAGCCATCCGGCACTAGCCCCGGAAGACCCTGCGCCTTTGAAAACACTGCAGCCGCGGCTCATGAGGGAGGCCAAGGCCCGGAGACGGCCCGGAGTCGTTGAGGCTTTGTCTAAGGTCTCGTGATAGCTTTGAAAAAGCTTCCTGAGGCGGCCCCGGGGCTTAGAAAAAGCCTCTACGACTCTACGTACAAGGTGGAGGCACCGTACCACACAGAAAGATGATCAACAAAAGCCGTTCTCTTCGGTCTTCGATTCAAGATAGAGCCCGACAGCAATCCTCAACTCTCAAGCATCCGAAAAAGATGCTAAGTTGTAAACATCCTGAACAGAGGCTCAGCGCTTGACCCTGCAAGCAAAACCATTTTGCAAACAAGTCTCTTCATGGTGGCTTGGACAGGGAGTTTTATGGCACGGCAGGGCTTCCCATTGGGAATACATCCGCTGTCATACAGGTCCTCCATGTCTGTGGAGAACATGCCGGCGACGGCATCCGCAGGCACGGAGGATCTAATGCACGAATAGGCCTCGTAGCTGGGCTTTGTCGAAACACCATGCTCAAAGTTTGTTCTACAATTCAAAATTCCCCTTCTTCTTCAATCGATGCTGTAAGATCCGTCCGACCCGTGCTAGCAGAGTGCTATTAATATATAGTGATACTCCACTACTACAGCAAAGTTCGGCTAGACGACGCATGCACCGGAGTCTCATCTGTACTAGCATGGAAAAATCGACCTGAGGAAGTACGAACAGTGACTCGGCTGTATGCCTAGGATTCAGGCTTCGGTGCTGTCGGACAACGCCTATGGACTTCATGCAGGGTTGAGCAGAGCCATGGCATGGCCTAGAGCAGTGGCTGTAAGCCTTCTGCTACAGTCTGGTGGCTTCTGTGTCTCCTTGGCCGATAAGCCACCGAAACCCCGAAAGCTTACAAAAATAAAATAACATGTCGGAATCATGTCGCCTTCCGGAAATCCCTCCCAGGCAACTTCGCCATCTCGAAAAGCCCGGCATAGGTGTCGAGAAAAGGCCTCAGCACATGCCCGCACAATCTCATGTGAGATGTCTTCACAGATATGACTCCAGGTCTGAGGAACCCGGTGTAAGGCGCTGGAAGGCTTGAAATCGCGCTCAAGACTGCAGTGCATGCTGACATGTGCGCAGTCTTGATGCCTACATGCAGCTGAACTGTGCCGCGCGTGCTCGTCGCTAGCTCATGTGACCCCTACCTTCCTGTTCCGGGCATCTGCTCGTCATGTCGAGCATGCAACACGACAGCTAATGATCTATTGGTGTAGGCTCATGGCCTCGATGCCCAAGCCTTTCACATCTCATCATGTGTTCGCACCGAGGCACATCCCGAGGGATTCTTGAATGACCTGGAAATCGGCAAAACCAATCGGCTCATCTCGGTGGTTCCTCTGAAGATCATAGACGACCTGGTGCCCATGACATGGCTCCTCTGGCTACGGAACAGAAGAGACATGTGGCACAAAGGCCCCTTTGCACAGAAGTTTCTCGGCAACAGCGTCGAGTGTCAGGGCCAAGCACCAACACAAATCCAGCAATTCGACTCAAACATCCGAATGCAGGCACGACCTTCGCCCTGTTTCAAATTACTTTGCGAGCTCCCCAAGCAGAAAACTCCGGCGGCTTCAATCACAAGACACTTTGCCCGTCACCTCATCCTATTCAGAATTCGGTTTCGTGAGTGGGCGTCCGTCAGGAACATGCAGCCAGTCCACCTTCAAGGTGTCCAGCATATTCTGCGTGTAAGCCTTGGAGTTCTACCTATACTTTCTCTGGGACCATGTTCAGTCAGACTGCGCAGAAAAATGGATCGGAGCCGCGAGATTGTGCAGATACTGTCAAGGGCCACCACAAACAGTACCGGGGGGCTGGTCCATAGGCCTCCGAACCTTCAGAAGCATTCTTCCCGTCGATGAAAATACCTTGGCGGAGCCACATGATTGACGTGGCTCGGTTGAGAGTTGAACAAGCGGAAAGAGACACTCGCATCACCTGCTGTGTTGTTACCACGGAGGCTGATCAACACTGTGACTCATGGCTTCACGCCCACAGTAGCAGAGCTGCCCCATGCCGGCGCGTCCAACGCGTCCGAGCACTCAGATGCGAGAAGAAGTGCTGATGCTTCCAGAACGAAGGCCGGGACCAGCAGCGCCCAAGCTACAGTTTTCATAACGGATAGTGGGAGCCAGAGTGGCTTCGTGAAAGGCGGGAGCATCGACAAAGCCTACACTTTCTGCCCAGCTAACAAGCGCCTGGCTAGCAATCGGGACTTAGGGCCGGGCCCCATCAGCCCACAAAACTGCAAACTCCATCAAAACAGTTCCCAAAAGTAACAACTTCAGAAAGCCTTCCCCCGACTGGCAGCGTGCACTGTTAACGTGTAGCGGATCTGGAGTCCTCACCAGGTACTCAAGACTCGCTCACTCTCCGCTGCCGATTCTGACATCCACATCCCAAGAGAATATAGCTGGAGATAGAGGTTCAGGTCCACAAACCGGTTTGCCCGCAGGCTTTGAAACGCAAAGCAGACAGCAAACGTAACGCGGGATTCCTCGCGAGTCTTCCTCAAATAAACTTATACCTCAGTATCCTGATTCCTGTAGCAGAGACTTGCGCCTTCAGGTTGTCGGGCAACTCGGAACGTCCTGCGTAGCCAGGATTCCTTGTGGCGGAAGGACTGCCACAAGTGTGGCCCGAGAAGCTGTGGTAAGGTAGACACATTACCTGGTGGTTGTGACCTGTGTTCGAAGAAGAAAAAGTCCTCGGACTGCTGCATGGCTTTGTTGCAAGATGTTAAAGAGTTTTGTGCCTCTGAGCCCCTGGTCGACCATGAAGCTACGCAGATCCTGAGGAGCACTTGGCACCTCTAAGAGGTTAGGGGCGTTAACCGATGCAATCTCCGATGTCTGAGTTCACCTGATGACGGCTCCGAACATCCATCTGTGGCCCTTGCATGGTGATGTTGACGGCACAGGTTGGAATCAACTCCAGCTCCGTCTCTTCGAAGATGAAGCGGCGCTGCACAAGAGAGGAAGCTTCGGAGGTTTGCGCACTACAAAAGAGACCTTCGGCACCGAAAACCAATTGTGAGGTTTCGAAGCTGCGTCACAACGGGGCGCTCCCGTGCAGTCGGAAGTACCCAGGAAACACTTTGAGGCTCCGAGAAACCTCTTGGAGCCTGAAGCCGCAAACTCAGCGCAAACGAGCCCACCTTCTTCATGCGGATGGCTTCCTGGATGCAGGCCACCTGCCAATGTTAGGGAAATCCGAGAGTTGCAACCTCACCGTGCGAGCGAAATTCACCTCCTTGCACGGTTCGACAGTGCCGCAAGGATTCCCTGCCATTTGGTCCCCAGAAGCCCCGAACCCTGTCGTCCGAAAAGATTGGAAGCCGGAAGGAGCCTCTCAGGCATCTCGGTTTGGGGTTGCCTCATGTGATCTCCATTCTGGGTCCCGAATGCGCACTCGAACTACTAGGAAAGCAGTTGAAAATGACAAAAACTGGTTTTGAGTTCCGGTGACAAAAACACTGGCAGGCCTGCTGGGCGATGACAGACAAGACCTCCAAATCGATGCGGTTGAACCTTGTCTTTGGCTGATATCGAACATGCAACAAAACGCTACTGCACCCAGGTGCAACTTTCGGAACCGTCACCTGAAAGCCGCAGTTTCAACAGGCGGAGCACGAGCAACAAGGCAGATTTGTGGCGGGAAGCACGACCCAGCCTGCAACAGAGCATGTTCACAAACAGTTACACTGCTGCAGCCAAGAGGTTTTGGATGTTCTGCCTGCAGCCTGGACTTATGATATCGGCACCACATCGGACATAGGCTCGCCCAGTCTCAGGCGAGAGACTTCTTCCCAGGCATGGGATATATGACCTCTGACCTCATGACCACTAGCTTAACTTAAGTCCCCCCGAATCGCTTTCACGCGCCGGCCTCGCCAAGGGTTCGAACACAGCATTGGTTTGAAAAGTCTCCGCCATCGTTCGGCGCAGTAACTCCTAAAACCCCGCACCCCAAGGCGATACTTGGGAAAATGTGAGGGCTTAAATCGCCTCTGTGAGTTGAATGTGAACTTGATGTTGAGACTGAGGGGGTCCAAAGCTTTCGGATGGAGCGCAGCCCAAGTGGGACCTAAGCCAAGGCTTGGATATCCTGCCCGAGCTTGCTTTTCTGTGGACTCAGTGATGCACCTAAACCCTAAACCCTTAACCCTAAACAGGCCCTCTTTAACACTCTTGGTTCCCGAATTCCCGACTTGGGCCATCTCGCTCCTTCTGAGCTACCGGCTCATCGAAGCAACACCATGCTCCGGAAGATGCCAAACCTGGCCCGGCTAGGGTTTAGGGTTTAGGGTCTAGCCAAAGAGGCCTGTGACTGGCTTCAGCGGATTCAGCTGCTCTCCTCCTTCTTCCGAAAATTGAACACCGCAAGTCAGATCCCTGGACCTAAAAACACTGACGGACACCGCGAAGGTCGCAAGTGCCCCCCCCCCCCGCCGCAACTGCTGCGGACTCGGCTACCCTTCGAGCTTCCAACCCTATGAAGCCAGAACATCGAGCCCCAACGGCCATGCAGAGTTCAAGACCCTTCCGTGACCTTTGAAGAACTTGCCCATGGCCAAGTAGTCCAAGCCATCGGAGCAATTGAAGACAACCTTGCGTGCAGGCTACAGAGGGGCAGGCATGTGTCCTTCGTCAGTGCAGGCTGCGGCCAGGGAGCACATTGGACGGACATCGCTTTGGCCAAGTCCTTCCGCGTAACCCGAAAAGGCTAGCGGTTTAGCGACGCGTGAACTCTCACACCACCAGCGATCTGTCCCTCAGTTTCGTCAGACTACTCAGCTACACCCAGTCAGGAAATATGGCATGATACTCACGTGGACTCTCTTAGACTCTTCGCCCGCGGGCGTGTCGTGTCATTCAGGCTGGCTCAAATCATTCCTGTCCGTCTGCAGCGAAACAACATAGGCTTTGCCTCAACCCCAGTCGCAAAGAGTCCAGTACCAATATCACCACGGCGAGACAGGGAACATCGATTCGTTTGGAGGGAGTGTCAATTCAGACACCTGCGAGCAGCTGGCGGATGGTGGATGGCGACGGCAGAAGACGACATGAAGGCCGAGATTTTCCGGAGAGTGTGAGTTTGCACCGACCAGCCCATCGAATTCAAGCACAGCACGAGCACGAGAGCTGTCGAGGAGTGAGTCTTTGGGGCATGCACAGCTTAATGACATGAAGGGGAAAGCTTTCCCGCAGCTTTGTGCAGCAGTTTCGTGGTACGAAGGTCGGGCTTTTGGGAGTCTGCTGCTTGGACAGCTTTCCGGCCGCTGCCTGCTCCAGCCGGCAGTACAGGGCTGGAACTAGAGCAGCCAGTCGCTGTTAGCTTACAACAACGACTCTTTGGAGACTGTTGTTTTTCGAACTTTTTCATTCTTGCTAATATCAATCTAAGCCCATACATTGACGACACCACGACATTTGCAAAGGGGAGGCCAGCGTGGTACATGGACCCGTGCCTTCTAGCCGGCACTTTACTTTGAAAACTAGCCCGACATCACGAAAGCATCAACGGTTAACCGGGCATGCGACAACAAGCCGCACTCATCTCTGTGGCAACCACCCCTCCCCTCCAATAGAGTAGTGAACGAACACAAGCATACGAACCGTTGTTTGCAGTCCTTCGTAGACTCTGTCTTGCCAGTGCCTTGGCAGAGGCACCAATGAAGATGCAACTGTTGAATCTGAAATTGAATTGACCAGATCCTCATCCGGAAACCCGTCCCGGTGCCTGCAGGCCCTTCTGGGGCACCCCCATAGAAGAGGTGGAAGGCACCCATCAATGTCCTGTAGCACCTCGCGGCGTGCCGCGCTGGCTACAGAAAGAGCGACCTGCTTGGAGTTAGGTGCTGGGTCGGAAACATGAAACTACGATAATGAAATCAGAACTTTCACTCTGACCTGTCTGTCAGCGGCGTGACGACCAGGCGATCGCTGTTGCCCAGATACTCGAAGCCGTACAGAAGCGTGGCCTGACGATGTGGCCATTTTGCCAATTCGCAAACAAACGACTACCCGGCTTTCTCCTGCAGAACTGCCGGAGGCACGATCGTACAAATGACATAAGCTTGAGCCGTGTCGAGTCGAAAAGGCTGACCAATCAAGCCAATGTAGTGTCGCAGTATCCAGCATCACAATGCTTGTCGATTCATTCTTCTAGGCTGGGCCCACAAGTTCTGTGGTGCTCCGTGCAGTCTTGCAGGAGTACAGGCGAGCCCAAGGGCATGGCATTGATGATGGACACCTGGCAGTTGTCCACGGTACTTGGCCTGAGCACAGTTCCATGTTCTTGTGGTTGGCTGGAACCACAGCAAAAACCTGCCATCTCAGCTTCTCATGACGGCTGCCGGACAAGAGCAGCTGCAGGTACCACACTTCCACAAATCAAGGTCGTCTGCAGCCTACAGTTGACTCTCAACAACAAAGCGGTCAACACGCAGAACCCCTGCTTCTTGCTGAACCCTACAAGCGCCGGGCTTCTGTGTCTCATACATGATGATGGAACCTGTGGGGGCCTTGGCAGGAAGCATGGACAATTACTTTGGCGACTGATCGTGACACGGTACAAAAGAGCTTGGTGGGTACCCGAAGCTCACTCCAGCAGATCAAGATGATGCGCCCTATACAGTAGGCCGGTTGATCCATCATAGAGCAATCATGTGCTCTCACGTGAGGCGGGCGCCCAGTAGTAGCGCAGCTGTGCCATCCAGTCAAAGTCCTGCAGCAAAGAGCCCCGCTCCATCAAGGGTTTATGACATTGGACAGGCGGTCAGTCTCGGGACGCGCCAGGCGAGGTTCCGATTTAGTTGTCAGGGCTAGGCTTGTCCTGAGGAAAGGTTTGTTCAAAGTACTGAGACTGAGATTATCCAAAGGGCCCGCTCCCCCAAACAACCCCCCCTTCGCCCACAATATTCAACATTATTTTCGTGAAACATGTTTCGTGACAGGGGTCCATGCTCCAATAGGTTGAATCTTCCCATTCCTGAGTGTTGTATTCGACACCCTTCTTTTGGTAGGCAAAAGATGCTGCAGTCCTACGTTCCCTGCGGCCCCTGCTGGCAGCAGTTCTT